GATAGTTGATTAAATATACAATATTACTTAATAATTTAAAATTAACTTATAAGAAAAATATTTTTGAATATTCTAATTAATTATTTTAAAATTATAAATTAATAAAATAAAATAAATCAAATATATTTGTAAAATTTTATGCATTAAGCTACCCTTAAAATCTTTTAAAAGTGTTATATATCTAATAATTATTAAAATTATATAAAATTAAAATATTTTTAATTATAATCAATGTATATTTTTAATACTATATTGTATGGAAAAGAAAAAGACTTTTGCGAAATCCTTCATATAAAAAATAAAAATTATGTGATAGAAAAATGTGCGAGGAATTGTGGCTTATTTTGGTTTAATTTTGCAGCCGTGTCATACACTTAACATATTAAGTGAGAAAAAGCTTCTTTGTGACCTTTTCTTGTCTTACGTTCAATATTAAGAACTCATGTTCAACTTTGTTTCTACCTTTCATATTTCTACATGTTTTCAAGATTAATCTCATATAGGACCCAATTAAATTGTGCTACAATATATGGGCAATATTGTTGTACCTTCTCAATTATTAATATTATATTTTTTTTATTTTCATTGATTATTATATTTTTTAAATTTATTTTAAAAATAAAAATATAAAATTCTAAAAAAGTATAATAGTTAATTAAACTAAAAAAATATAATATTAATTACTAAGGGTGTGACCATAACTCACCTAATATAGAGGTAGCATTTTGTAAACAATTTCTATTCTAAATTGATCACATGTTTAAGGGGGAATCATGTCATCATATAAGTAATCTAGGCTAATTTGCTACACAATAAAGTCCACATTATTCATGATTATTGTATGCATATAATGCAGCTACTTTAGCTTTCATTATTTAATTTATTGTCTAAAAAAAATTTAATTCATTGCCTAGTTCGGCTTTCCCACCTTTCAACATAAAGTATAACGCTTAATGCCTACTTTTCAACGTGGAAGCGTAATGATAGGAAGTGGCTATCCATGACTGACCAATTTGGACCATTTGAAGCCATCACAATTATTCATCAAATGCCTTTTAGATAAAGCAAAGATGGATATTTTATAATTACTTTAAATGTTCAAAATCAAAAGTGATGAGTATTTTTTAATATTTTAATTTTATATTGAAAAATTATGAATAAATTGAAAGATAAACAATGTTAAACATAGCAATAATTAGATATAAAAAAGATGAAAAAGTAAGGAGTATCATCTTTTTCCTTGAATTAACCAAACCAAAAAAAAAAATTTCCTTAAAAATGCAATGAATAGGGGAAAATAATTTTGTTAAAATATGAGTAATTATTCATTATAATCATTACATAAAAAATGAAATAAATTTAAAATCAAATATAATACATTTCAATAATATTTTTACTTATAAACAGAGTTCCGCCTGTCATGGCGAGAACGAATAGGGGAAGATAAATTGAAATTATTGTCATTAAAAATGTAACCAATATTTCCATCAAATCAAGTCAAATTAATATCTATTTGATTTACATATATGGAGCATCAATCTTTTCCACTTTTTGCATGTGCTTGCTTCCTATAGTTACCAACCTCTTTTAGTTCATCCCACTTTTTCAAAAGCATATTTCCTAATCCATTGTTGACAAATTTAAGTAATAAAAAATAAATAAATAATATTTTACAATTTAAACTATAAAAATATTGACCATCAAATCAATGATTTTCCTAATTTCACAAAAGGAGTCTCTATTCTAATGGTTAAAGAAATAAATTATCAATTTATGGTTCTAAATTATTATAAATGTATTTGCGGTTTTAATTCAGCTCTCACTATCATGTCCAATTATCTATTAAACCTGCCTATTGCAAGATGTAAACATAATGTTTCCTACTCAACATTTTTAACCATTAGTTGTTCTTATTTAAAGACAAGACAAATGACCTTTTTCCTATAAAAGAAAGGTATTTACTCTTTTTTCTTTTTTTTTTTGAATTAGGGAAAGTGGGGGAGGGGGAAGGGAAGGGAAATGGGAACGAAGGGTTTGAATCTCAGTAGTATAGATAAAACGTCCACACAATAACAACATAAATTATACATCAAAATTTAAAAGTATTTATATTTTTATAATCTATTCTTCATAAATTATACATTTTATTATATTTATAACCATCAATGAAGCAGGAACCGCCGTAATATTAAAAGGCCTGTTGCTTCTCAATGTTTGCAAATCACTTTTTTAAAATAATTAATAATAATAATAAGGTTAGGGATATAACAGGCATTAATTCAGGAGGGTGGTCCATTTTGTAATTTAGAATTTTTTTATTCAAAATCCTCCATTGCTTCCGGTACCGTCCAAAGAAGCCGCGACGCTTCACGAAAACGTGACACGTCCTTTCGGCGATCGCTTGCCACTTCACTTTTCGTCATCCCTCAGGTCAGGAATCTTCTATACAACTCGCGCGAGTACAGAGAATCAAACCACTCGCCGGTTCCTTTTGACGTTACTCTGCGAATTAATGCACTCGTTGCCACGTGGCAATATGTGAAACGTCAACACCTCTCAAAAAAGTGTTTGATTGCCACGTGTCATTAAATAATAGGAAAAGGAGCGGACTCATGGTGGGTACGGAGTAGAGGAATATTTCCATGGCTGGTTTGTTGGCACGACAAGCACGTGTGAATTGATGAACACGTGTGAAAGAGGTGGAGGCTGAATCGGACGGGGGAATAGTAACCACAGAAACGGGTGTCGTTTTCTGTGGGGCCTACTGATGGGATCCATTCTTTGAAAAGGGTAATTAATTGGATAATGAAACGTATTCGTGGCAGGACTGGAGTACTACGGGGAGTGCTTTATGGCCTTTTTGGTTTTTCCGAATTTCCAAACACGGTGTAAAAGTAACTGAAATTTAATGCGGGTTTCAGGATAACAAACCCAAACAGCCATGATCTCTGGGTTTGGTCCAATTCAAGAAGGCTAGACTAGCCAGGCCCAGTAACAAGATCAAGTAGCTCATTTCCAAGTCCTAGTCTAAGAAAAAGGCAATTTTTTTTTTTTTTTTTTTTTTTGTGTAGTCCACCAAACAGAACTATCCCTTAGAGAAGGTAGATACATAAGCTAATTTTCAAGGCATGTACCTTGCATAACTTTCTCAATAAAATATTGATGATAAATTATGCAGATTAATTCGGCCTTACCGACCCCCTTAAGCTAAGCTCATACGCAAGCATGGTAGGAATGGAACAATCTCCTAAATATTATTATAATTTCTTTTATGAATAAGCTGGAAATGGACACCAAAAAATTTCATGCATTCTTCAGTTTGTACTGATGGGACCCCTCTCTTTTTTTGAAAAAAGCGATTCGTTGAATAATGACACGTATGCCTAGAATATATTTATAGCCTTTTTTGTGTTTTCCGAATTCCAAACAGGGTGTAGAAAACTAGAAATAGCCAGTACAGTAGGCGTTGTGGTGTTGAGATTAAATGCGGGTTTCAGGATAACAAGCCCAGTGAGCCCATAATCTCTGGGTTCAGTCCAATTCAAGAAGCCTAGACTACCCAGGCCCAGAAACAAGATAAAGCAGGTCGTCTACTTTCACAGCTCGGGAGCCACTGCACCCAGCTAGCATTTGCCTTTATAGATGTCTGTCTGTCGAAATCCATCTCTGCTTTGAAAGCCATTGGTGTCTGAACTGCCATAGCTTTTAGTGAAAAGTAGTTAGGTTCTCTACCTCTTTAATTATGGTCAATTTTAATTCTTCTACAGGCATTGAACAAGTTCCTTGAGAAAACGTGTATACAGATTTTGTTATAGTTAAGCCGAACAGGCTGATGTCTATTGTATTTTCATCTTGTCTCGGTGACTTCAATGGATTTCACTCATGTATTATAGCTGTAAGGACTTGAATTCCACATCAATAAGAAATTGTAATTAAGTTTGATACATATGTGTGGAAATCAACTATTATTAATAAGTTAAGTATTATTAGCCCAATAATAAAATTCAGCCTGGTTGTTTTAATGTTGTTCGTGTTGCCGTTTATTGCAAGTCCTGGTTTTCACAAAGGTGTGGTACAAAGCTTTGTAAATTTCATTTAACTTCTATTATAGAGAACAAGTCACGCATAATTCTTGTGCATACCTGCTTAG